TTTGGGAGCAAAACTTCATATAAGACACTGTCTTATTTTCGGGGAATCAGCGTAGCACCGAAGTCAACAGAACACCCAAGGCAGAGGTTGTACTTCCTAGTAACATGGACCCACAATGTGGAGTGTTTGCTAATGGGTCATGCATTTCATTATCACTGTTTTCAAATTCAGTATTGCTCCCCGAAACCATCGAATCTGGCCCTATTCTGCATCCATCCCATGTGTTGTAAATGATTTTTTTTATTTCTTCAGTTACTGTTAAGGGCTTATTTTATGGTTCATTTCATCCTCTTAAAGAAAAGCGCGCACACACACAGATACACAGACACTCAGCTCTTGTCTCTCTCTGTATTTTTTAAAAGGAAATGATTAGGAAACACAAAGGAGCCCTCATCACTCGATTTGGAAAGCAAAATAAATACATTTAGGAAGAAATGTGAAATAAGGCCCCATTTAGATTTCTAACTCAGGTCTCTGGAATTGAAAACAGAGTTAAGCAGAGACATTCATTCCTCAGCAGGCCGTAGCCTGCGCTTTTCCCGGAACTCTGAAACTGTTAATAGAATGGACAGGCCCAAGTAGCGTCCAGTACTATAATAATAGAAAATTAAATACGACTTTTAAAAACTGCTCACATTACAGGATGATCTATTAACAATATAGGACGTTTTACCCGTAAAGCGACAGACTCTGATTGCGGGCTGTGGCCCCCGGCACACATTAAAGAGCAGAGACTCTTGAGGACATTGTCCCTCTTTTGGGAGATTGCAAAGTGGGTTTTCTTTGGGATAAATCTCTGTTTTTGACACACAAAGATTGTGTTAATGGAATCGCTCCGTTCTGATAAAACAGCATTGCTGCTTCTTCTTTGATTCATGAATCAATAAGCCAACTATTAGAAATGTTCCTGTGTTTTTCACCCCTCCCATTTCTCCTTTACTAAGTGAAACTCTGTCTTTGCAGCTACGGATGTTCCTGAAGAAGGAAAGATGGGGCCCTTCTCTAAGGAGCTCTTCTATCAGAGAGGAATCCTTCATGTGCACCTGGTTGTCTTCCTCTTTCCTCTCCAAGCCTTGTGAACAAACAGGTGGGTGTCTAAGAGGAAGCTGCATTTACCATAACCCGAGTTGTCTCTAATTTAAAAGGTTATTACAAAACTATAAGGACTTCTTAGATGTACCATTTAAGGACTTACAGTTTCCAAAAAAAAGTCTTTGGGGAATATCATGTATCTGAGTTTTTAATCTTTGAATTTGACTTCGTCTTTATGATATCAAGGGTTCTTTCATAATTTTTATCCTGTGTACAGCAGGAAACATATTAGTTTAATAAGCTGGACAATGCAACTTTGTAACCTCACGGGGGTGGTTTGAGCACACTTGGAGATGCTTTGGAAGAGAGAGCTGGCAATCTCTGACACATGGGTTTGCCAGGAGTTAGAATCCAACATTTTACCTCTCTCTATGCCTATATGCATTTTTTGTTTGTGGTTTTCTAAGAAAGTAGATAACAAATATTGTCCGCTATGGTTCAGATTTTTCAAATAACGACTGATGTCATTTTCCACATAACGAACAGTGGGGTTTTGAACACATAATTAAAAAATCCTCAGTGACACACGACACAAGCACCAACCTTATACTTTTGAAACATTTCTCTAAAATCCACATTATTTTAAAAAGAAAAATTCTTGGTGGAAAGAAGGTTAAACGCCTTCTGACTTTCTGGAAAAAATTTTTCCACTAATAATCCCATGTAGTTTGTAATTGTTTCCTTTCTTTTTCAAAATCTAGGCTCTGTAGAAGAAAACAGAAATACTTATTGTTGGCCTGAATTAGAATAACAGGAAAAGAGAAGATAAGATCATAACCTTTGGCATTTTGTTTATGAAAACACTCCTTTAGGGCGATGCCTGAATCAGGCAAGGGTAAAGCGGCTCCCTCCTCTCCCGGCATATTTCAAATGCCATCCAAGCCTGAACAGAAAGTGAGAAGTCTAGAGCTAGGCCGCTACCTTTCTCGTGATAGTGTGGCACATCGTGACACCATCGAACTACCTCTATTTTCTTAGATACTATAGGTTTACTTTTTAATTATAGTTTAAATATTTGAAATAGGTTAAGGCCCATAAGAAGCTGCACAAATAGTTCAGAGGATTCCTATGTACGTTTCACCTGTCTTTCTTTAATGATACCATCTCACATCACCAGAGGACTTTCTCTAAATCAAGCCATGACTCAACATTGTTAACTCTGGCACACACTGTGTTTGGACTTCACCACCTTTGGCATGTGTTGTGTGTGTGTGTGTGTGTGTGTACATTAATAGGTGGAATAGTCTCACAATGACTATTGATGTTATGCAACATTTTTAGATGTTGTGTTCTGCATCCTATGCTGGCTAATCGAAGGGGAAGTGAGTAGGTTCCACGAGTGAAGATCTTTCATACTTAATTGCTTTATCTATGCTTTAATTAACTAATTAATTAATTAATCATTCAGTCTTATACGAAGTGTTAACTCTATCCAAGAGCCAGACCCTTGGATAAAATGGAGACACAAGATGGAGGCATAGGCTTTGGTCTTGAAGAACTCAGGAGAAATTAGGGGGAACAAAATTAGGGGGAACAACACAGACTGTTACATCTTACGATACAAATGAAATAAACATTCTTTTGCACCTATGTATACCAGGCACTGCACCAGGCACGAGGGCGATGTGTTGACTAAGATGCATGCCTTTCTTGTCAGTTACTTTCCGTTGGACTTAAGATGGCCTCCAAGTTCTCCACTGGACTCTACAAGGCTCTCTGTGATCAGACCCTGCCTATCTGTGTCCTCAAACTCTCGTGTCACCTTACTTCCAATTCCTAGTGGCCCAGTCTCCCCTGCCCCTTTAATTTTCCTTCAGCTTGCCAAACTCTCCTCCTTACCAGGCTTTTGTGCATGTGGCTTCCTGGAATGACTTTCTCGTTTTCTCTTTGCTACATCTAGAACATGACTCTTCAGGGTTCTTTCTCGGGTTGTCTATTGAAGCACTGGTCCATATCAAGTGCCCACCATGAATCTCGTCATTTGTTATGAGACAGATGAATGCGATAAAGGCATAACTGGATTTTCTTTATGAGTTTAGGGTGATGGTGGTTACCTGATTTGGAAGGAGTTATGCTTTGTTTGTTTAGGACTCATTTATTTTGGACTCATTCTAGGGTCTTTCTCAAGTGCAGACAATGAGATATTCAAAATTTTCTAAGGCAATGAAAATTCATGCTGACTATATTGCCAGTTTATAATTTTGTTTTGCTTAGATCCGCAATTGATGCTCATGGAAGCAACAGTCAAGAGAGTCGATGACACATGGGGTAACTCTGCTGCACAAGGCTTCTTTAAAGTGCGGAAAAGAGGCCTGGTACTTTCCGGGGCCTCATATGCATGTGAAAATTGAACATCGGACAAAGGAGACTGAAGAAGAATGGAAACATTTCAACTACGGCTCTGGTGAAGAGTATCGAGAGTACCATGTCCTGCGAAAAGAACAAACGACATCTGTCTTGGAGGAAGTACACTCAGAACGCTCCTCAGGGGCAAGGATGGCAAGACTTCCTTTTCCAGACATGGGCTATGTTGTCCAGAGAGACCAGTCCCTAGAAAGGGACATCATGCTGAGGATAGTCGAGGGGCAGCACCCAGAGGAAAGCCCTCTGTGAGAAGGACGGACACAGCTCAAAGACAGGAACAGTTGGGAGGATAGCGCAGGATGGACAGTGTTTGGGTCTGTTAGACTTAGGGTCTCTGAATTGGAACTCAGTCAACTGCACTTACCAACAACAGCAATGGATGAGACAGGTCCGTGATATCAAAATCAAAGGTAAAGACACACTCCAAAGAAGATATATAAAGACGTATTTCAAGTGAAGCTTTTAGTGTCATTTTAAACAAGACTAGTATAAAATGGATTTCCATAAGCTATTTCTTGGTACCTCATTCTGTAATATTTTGGAAATTATGTAACATTAGAACGACTCTCCAGAATATGGTAATTAACATTCTCCCAAATGTTTTATTTAATCAAATGGAAGCTAGAGTCACTGGGTGGGAATAGGTGGGATCTGAGCACATTTTATATATCACAAAAGACTGTTTTAAAAAAATTCAAAATGTGCTGGTACAGATAAAAGCTCAGGGCACAGGGAATCCAGGACCGATAAACCCTAACAACCAATAAGGGGAGCAGTGATATTAGGAGGGTAAGGGTGGGGAGGTTAAGGGGGAACCAATCACAATGATCGATATATGACCCTCATCCCAGGGGAATGGACAGCAGAAAAGTGGGTGAAATAAGACAGCAGTTGGTGTAAAACATGGAAAAAAAGAGAATAATTTATCAATTGTCGAGGGGGTATGGGGGGGGGATGAAGAGCTGATGCAAGGGGCTCAAGTAGAAAGAAAATGTTTTGAGAAAGATGACAACAATATATGTAAAGCTGTGTTTGACAAAATATAGATTGTGATATGAGCTGGAGTCCCCAGGAAAATAAAATAAAAATTTAAAAAACCCCAAGCCCCCAAATCCAACATGAACAAAATAAAACATTGAAAAGCCTTAAACATATTCAAAATGTAACAAATCTAAAAATGGTATCCAATTCAGTATTAAAAATCTTGGAAATGCCTTTAGTATGAACATTTTTTAGACGTCCTAGTAACTCAAATACGATTTTTATTATTAAAGAGGAAAAAAGATGAATTTATTCAGGCAGTAAAGCCCAGGAAGTAGTTGCTGGATATTACGAAATGGTTTATTGATGAATGTCAGGAAGTTGGAACAGGTAATTAACATCTTCATAAAGCAGCTCACTGTAAACCGTTTTAGGTCAAGACAGATTTTTTATTTTGCTTTGTTTTGTTTTATTGCTTCTTTTCTATTTATACTGCCATTTAAAAAATTCTTGGGCTGCTTATCAACAAAATAAAAATAATCGCATGAGAAGAACATAAATAGCTCTGGTAATGCACCATCTACAAGCAATGGTAGCCACTGGTGGTAGTTTGGTCGAAAACTCTGTCTGCCGCCACAGAGAGGAAACAGTCCGTTTTTCTTTTCAACGTAGGAACGCAGCGCTTTCGTTCTTGAAATCGGGATTTTGCTGGGAGGTGCAATCCACCCGAACATGGCCATAAAAGATTGTGTCAACCACCCGAGGAGAAACGGAGTCGTGTATCTCACCACGCCCCGGCTGCAAAGCGGAGAGACTGGTTAGGAGTCCTGGCAGGGCAGCCGGGCTGCGATCCCCATGGTCTGCGCTTCGGAACCCCAAGCAGCTCCTCTTGGGGAAAGACTGGGCTTTCTACTCCTCAGGGACAAAGACTGGGCTTTCTACTCCTCTGAACAGTGGCCGCTGGCCAACTCCGGGACTCACGATGAGTCAGCGACGCCTCGGTGGCAGCGGATTTGGTTGGGGTTGGTGGTTAGGCACTGGCAAGTCAGTTCCATGTCACACAGAACGTGCATCCAGCGCAATGACACCTGCCCAGCCCTGCGCTGTCCTCCGACGGTCCCGGAATGGGCGCCCTTGGGGCAGCCGGTTGCTTTCCTCTGGGTGCTGCCCCTCGACTTTCCTCAGCATGATGTCCCTTTCGAGAGACTGGCCTCTCTGGACAACGTACCTGATGTCTGTGAGTAGACAGCTCACGATACTTGCCTCAAGGAGCTTTCTGGTGGTCCGTCGTCCAAGACAGGTTGTCTGTTGTTGGGGCCTTTCCTGGTCTTCGCCAGCACCATTATTCAAACACGCCAATTCTTCTTGGGCCTTCTTTATTCCATGTCCAACTTTCACATGCATCTAAGGGGACTGAACATACCCACCATGGCTGTGTCAGGCGCTCCTTTGTCCCCAAAGTTTCATCCTTGCTTTTGGACACATTCAAGAGATACTGTGCAGCAGAGTGACCGGTGCAATGTAACGCCTGTTTGCATTCATGCAAGACAAAATCCTGGACAACGTCTATCTTTCCTCCACCGCTCGTGATGTCACCTCTTCGTGCAGTTGTGAGGATTCTGGTCTTCTTGACATTGACCTGAAATCCAT